ACACACACACACACACACACACACACACACACACACACTAAATAAAATAGAAAAATTAAAAAATTTAAAATTGTTAAAAAAAGATTGAAACTGTCAACAACTTCATCTTACTTGAATCCACAATTAACACTGTTGGTACCAGCAGTCAGGAAATCAGGAGATATATTGCACTGGGAAAGTCTGCAATTGGGGACCTCTCCAAATTATTGAGGAGCAATGATGTCAGTTTGAAAGACGAAGGTGAATCTGACTAAGGCGACAGTCTTTCTGATCCCTTGCTATACATGTGAGAGCTGGACAATGAATAGGGGTGACAGAGAAGAATTGATGATGGCTTTGAGCTGTGGTGTTGGAGAAGAGTGCTGAACATCCAGTGGACTGCCAAAGAACAATCAAATATGTCTTGGAGAAAGTGCAGCCAGCATGCTCTTTGGAGGCAACGATTATAAACCTTTCCCTCACATACTTCAGGCATGTTCCTTGGAGAGGGACATGATGTTCGAAAAGGCAGGGGGTCAGCGAGGGAGAGTGTAAGGTCTCCAAGGAAGAACAGAACCCAGTTCAGGTTAAGGAAGATAATTTATTGAGGAGAAAGTGCTGGGCTGGCTCTTAAGCAGAAAACCATTCCCCCTAGAAGTAAGAGGTGGGTTTTACATCCTCTTACAAGGAACTTGGGGAAGGGGATACTCAGAGATGTTTTTTACAAGATGGGGAAGTGGGCTGGGGTCTCAGACAACTATTTCTGGGGAAGGAGGTAGAGCAGTTTCACATCCTTGACAGGAACAGCCACAGTTGCTGCTTGCTGTGATTGGATCATTTCAGTAGTCATTCTATGAGAGGGAGGAAAGAAGGGCTCTGCAGTCCTTATAGAGAGGAATATTCTCAGTCAGGTGGATTGACGCTGTGATTGCTGCAATGAGCTCCAATGGGTCAGAAAGTGTGAGGATAGCGCAGGTGAGGACGGGATTCAGCTCTGTTGTTCATAGGGTGACTACGGGTCATACTCAACTCGATGACACTTAACAACATAACATCTCCAGCCTCATATCTGTTTCGAAGTCCACATTTTCTAACTACTGGTTCTCCTTCCTTATTCCTGTCTTTTGTAGTCCAGTCATCAATTATTATTAATGAATCTTAGTTGCATGTTTGATTGATTTTGAACTGCAAAATTTGGTAGAAATATTCCATTTTTTCCTCTTTGGTTCTGGTTGTTGGTGCCTATATTTGAATGCCAGTGGTATTAACTGGTCTTCCTTGTATGTTTATGGATACTGTCACTCACAACATTGTTTTACAGGACGGATCTAAAAAAATGGGGTTTTTGACTCTGAATGCGATCCCATTTTTCCTCACTTTTTCATTTCCAGTATATCAGACCATGATCTGATTAAAAATATCCAGCATCAGAGAGCTGGACAATGACTAAGGATGACAGAAGAATCAATATCTCTGAGTTGTGATGCTGGAGAAGAGAATTGACCATACCATCGATGTCCAAGAGAACCAACAGGTCTGTCCTGGAAAGGGTGAAAGCAGGCTGCTCCGTGAAGGCAAGGATACTGAAGCTTTGTCTGACATACTATGGGACGTTGCAAGAAGGGACCAGTGCCTGGTCATCATGCTTGGGAGGTAGAGGGGCAGAGTAAGAGAGGAAGACCCTCGATGAGATGTATTGAGTCAGTGACTGAGGCAGAGATGGCGGGAACAGTGAGAATGGCTCAAGACAGGGCAGGGTTCAAAGCTGTGAGTCGCAGTCAATAACAAAGAACAATATCACATCCAGTGAAATTTTATGGGTACCATCCTCCCGACCACCCCAAGCCCTCTTAGCCAAGCCAGGTGCGCGTGCGCACTCGCATTCCCTTCTTCTGACATATCCTTCAGCCACCACATATACGCCTCCACTTCAGGGTGGTCCTGTGCACCGACCTCACCTTTCCCTGGAGCTCCACCACCGCTCTGCCAGGCCAGTCCCGCCCCAGCCTTCTGGCGCATGCCCACTCCACCTTTTAACCTCTCAGTAAAAGCTCCGCCCCCAGACCACGCCCCACTCACTAGCCAGACTTGCTCCCACCCCCGACCCAAATCTCAAGCCTATTTGGTCCAAGCCTGCGTCCGTCAGTTAGAACTCCGCCCCAGACGCATCTTCGCCCCGCCCTCAAGAAGATGTCTTCAAGAGCCTCTAGCGCTTATTCGCTCCCCTGGCACGCTCCGCCCCCTAGGCGCACACCCATTCATCCTGCGCCCCGTCCGTCCCCGCGAGTCTCCGTCTTCATCTCGCGAGTTCCCCCTCCTGCGCGTGTGTGCCTGAGACCCCGCCCCCGAGGCGTGCTCCCGCCTGCCCGGCGCCACGTGCTCGCTGGAGGCGGTGCAAGGGGCCGAGCCGGGAAGATGTTCTTCTTGCAGCCTCTTCCGGCTGTTGGGAGAGTTGTGATCAGGCGTCTGGTAGAGAATCGCTCGTGGAGCAGGAGAGTCTCCACCGCGGAGATGACGAAGGTAATAGGCGGAGGAGGCCGGTTCCCCGGCCGCGCGGGGAGCTTGTCGGCGGGCGCCGGGCATCGCGGCGTGTGGTCACGGGGCCCGGACTTCTGCGCCAAGTTGCAAAATCGGTTAAAAGGCCAATTGCCCTCCAGGGCTGGGCGGGAGACGTGGTGACTGGGTTCCCTGGGGCTCCCGGCGGCCTCATCATCCTGGGAAGATGATGGCTCTGGCGCAGGTCTACCGAGCTTTCTCTAATCTACGCTGGCTTCGTTTTCTTATTTTTGAAGTTACCAAAAAAAAAAAAAAAGAAACCCTAAGGCTGGGAGGAAGCCTTGATTTGGAGAGGTGACATTTCTCTCCCAAGACCCTGCTGAAGACGAAAGACTAGGAAAACTAGTCGAAAGTGCCAGGGGGTATTATTCCTCCAGCCAGATTTTGTTTAATTAGGAAAAAGGGGGTTTTGGAAAGAGACACACACACCTCTTTGTGAACTGGGAAGGGGGCTCTTGCAGGAAGATTCACTCTCCCAGCTAATTGAGTCTCAGGAAATGATGAAAGGCACTAGAAAATTCGGAGAGACGCGAATCGCCGTAGGGGAATCTTGGAATTCAGTTTGAGATTGGAAAAGAAATAATTGATGGGGAATCTTCTAAGGAAGTGTCCCAGATTGATGGAAGACCCACCCAGATAACCACCCTGCCCAGTTCCCCCGGCTGCTTCCCGGTAATAATCCTAAGGGAAGTTGGAAGTTGGAAAAGTTAGCCAGGCCAAGGTCTGCTTTGTAGAAGAGATTGGACACCAAGGTGCCAGTGTGGTTTTGTGATCACAGATCAAGGAGTGAAGAAATCGGAGAAAATCTTCCTCCTTCCGCCCCCGCCCCCCCCCCCAGCGGCTCTGGTGTCAGCCTAGGTTTCGTTTACCTTTTGTGTTTGAGTGGGACTGTCACTTAGGGTTTTTTGTGCATCACTGAGTTTTCCTGAAGGGCAGAGATCCTCAGGTGTTTGGGACTTGAGACTGTGGAGGGGAAGAGGTGAGCCTGAGTCCAGGCAGAGTGCCCAATTTTGCTTCTCCCTGAGGAGTCTCTCTGACTCTATTACAGCCTGTGTGTTGGCCAGAGTTTATATTAGGAATGAGCAGGTACTCTTGAGTTCTCTGGCCAGGAGAGCAGAGGCTGAGATGTTTGCTTTCGATGGCTCTAACTAGGCTGCAGATGGATGTCTTTTCTTTTTCCTTTTTATTATTAATTTTAATGAAAGTTTACAGAGACTTTGGATTTCCATTCATTCACTGTTGCACTTTTCTCCCTACTTACCCCTCCCCCCCCAAGTTAGCTCTTCTCTTTGAAAAGTGAAAGAAAAATTCTTTCATTGTTATACCATCCCTCCCCCCAGGTCCATTCACTATGCATCCTTCATTCTGGATTCCTGTCTTGACAAAAATACCTAATCCTATATCTCTTTTAAGCAGTTCTCTCCCTCAGCCTTTTCAATACAGTATACATAATTTAGCCCATCTTTCTCAGTCTCCCCCCAACCCCGATGGCAGTCCTGTTTTACAAGAGTGGCACCATGCAGTGTTTGTCCTTGTTTTCTTAAAGAACCCTTTGTGCTTCTGAATTTGAAAGTAAAGCCTCTTGCTGTTGTAACAGCGATGGTTTCTTGGGACTGACCACAAGGACAAGACCCTGACATGTGGCGGTTACAGTCTTAACTTTTGCAGGACTTTGAACCCCTTGAGTAGAGTTTGGTCACCCCAGCACCTGCCACTTTTGAATTTTCTTTTGAGCTCAACAGAATACATCGTTTAGGTGGAATGATTTGTTTTTTCTGGAGTGTAGGGCCTCCAAAGTCCCTCTCATGGATCTAACTAAAAACCAAACCTTATCTACTGCTGATGAGTCATTGCCAGCTGGAGAACAGGTGGCCTAGTGGGTAAGGAGATGTGCTGACAGTCCAAAGGCAAGCGGTTGGGATCCAGCAGTGGCTCCGAGGGAGAAAGATGGGCCTCCCTGTGCAATTTACAGACTCTGAGGTGTTCTGGAAGCTCAGCTCTGAGTCAGTTCCCACACTACAACCCCATGACAACATGCTTCCAAGATCATAAATCCTACAGAAACAGCCTGCCTCTTTGTTCCCCCGAAGAGAGGCTGGATTCAAACTGCCGACCTTTCCAATTATAACCATCCTCTTCCATTGTCCCCAGGGCCTCGTTTTAGGAATCTATTCCAAGGGAAAAGAAGATGACGTGCCACCATTTACAAGTGCAGGAGAGAGTTTTGACAAATCTGTGTCCGGAAAGCTGAGAGAACTTTTGACCATGTAAGTGTTTAGCTGGGAGGGGCAGTTCTTAAAAATGAACAGAACCCACCCTGGGCTGAAAAGGTATTCCTTTCTCTGCTTCATTGTGACAAGATAAAATGGGCCTTGACTGCTTGGTGAAAGTGAAAGTCCTTGGCATAGGATTGCACTTTGGTACTTGGTGTTTCGATGCGGGTGAGTTCTGGGAAGTCAAGCCACTTACAACATCATCACTGGCCTCTTGTGAGGGACTGACTCAGAAAGATCTGGAAAGCACCAGACTTCCACAGCCCACCTCCTGGTCCGCACTCCTTTCTCATTCTCCTGCTGCCACCCTGCCTCCCGCCAGCCTCTCTTCCTCCATTGTCTTCTTTTTTGTTGAGGGAGACCACAGGGTCCAGAAGCAGTCATGAAAGCTCCTGGAGTCCACTCCTTCCTTGCCTGGCTTGAGTTTCAGGGGCTTCTCAAATTTTAGTGCTCAGGTGTGTCACTGGGGGACGTGATGAGAGTGCAGAGTCTCATTCTGTAATTCTCATTAGTGCTTGATTGAGCTGGTTTGACCAGGGAGCTCTGGTGGTAGTGTCTGTAGAGAGTTGTGCTTCCAACCCAAAGGCAGCCCCTCTCTGGCGGTTTGAATTCACCAGGGGCTCCGCTGGAGAAAGATGGACAGTCTCCTCCTGTGTGATTTATACCCTCGGAAACCTGGTATGAGTTGATTCCATCTCGACAGCAAAGACTTTGCATTTTTGATCAATCAGTTTAGAAAAGTTAGTGAAAAATTTGTGTTTCCAAGTCCTGAACTACAGGTACACACACACACACACACACACACACACACACACATTCTCTCTCCTCTCCCCCTCCCCTTCTCCTTCTCTTCTCCTCCCTACCTCCCTGTTTCTCTCTCTCCCCTCCCTCTCTCTTTCCCCTTCCCTCCCTCTCTCTCCCTCCCCCCTTCCCATCCCACCCCAACCCCATTGAGTTTGTTCCCACTCAGAAGACCCCGCAGGAGGACCAAGTAGAACTGCTCCATTGAGTTCCCAAAAACGATAATCTTAAAGGAAGCAGACTGCCACATGCTCCTTCCTTGGACCTGCTGATTTCGAACCGCTGACCTTTCTGTTAGCAGTAGACACTTCAGTAACTGGATCTCTAGGGCTCCTATACTCCAAGGCTCCTGTGCAGACTGCATTTGGCAGAAATAGAAGTGACTCCGTAAAGCAGTTGTGACAGTATATAGTATTGGGACCATAGAATCTTTGTGAATCTAAGAGATGATTATAGTAATTGTATGAAAGACTTTGTATCTGTTCTCCATTGCCGGTTCTTACCAGAGACCTGGCCTGGATTAATCCGTTAATCCGAAGCCAGGTGAAAGGTTAGAACTTCCGTGTCCACTCAGGCGCTTTGGAAGGAAGGCCTGAACCTGCCTTCAAAGAAGCTGGCCGCTGAAAGCCCTGTGTGCAGAGCTCTGCTCTGAGATACCTTAACACCGAGTATTGACAAAGACCATTCAGGGTCCACTCCTCTCTCGAAGAGGACCTCTTACCTGCTCCACCCTCTCCTCCGCCCCGCGTGTTCATACAGAAATTACTCATCTCCACAGACACTGACTTTCCGGTGGGCAATAACTGTCTTACTTTATTTCTTCTTCTTTATTTTCACTTTCTGTCGGGAGGCTTAATGATTTGATAAGTTCAGCCTTTGTCGTCTGGTGCCAGGATCCCTCTGTTGCCCCGTGTGGTGGTCAGAGCACTGTCTTTCTGAGGCATTCCATCACGTGGCTGTTTGAAAATGTGCATAAATTCTTGTCTGGACATTTGCAAAGGTGTATGACATCTAGTTTTCGACCTAGATTTAGGAGGGCTGCATCTGACCTAGTAAAAAACATCAATGACAAAAAGCCCCAGACGCTGTTAGCCTGTGTGATAATATTGAAGATAGGAATATGTCATTTTCAACAAGCAGAGCCAAGGAATTCTTACAACTCATGCCTCTTGCTTTAGATCGGGACCACCTCTGAAGGCAGGCAAAACCCGAACCTTCCACGGTCTGCATCAGGTACGAAACAGTTCGTTTAACAAACCCTCTTGTGTCCCTACCTTGGACCCCTATCAGTGTTGTCTGTGGCTTCCCAGTCCCACCGAAGGGCTCATAATAGATTGCATTGTCTTAACTTGGCTTAACGCAGAAGATGATGCGGGGACAGATCACTGCCCAGGAGTGCCGCAGCTTGTGTGTCCCTGAGGCTGAAGCCTTGCTTTGTCCAGCGTCCGTATTACATAGCAGAGTGCTTTGAAAGCCTGTCCTCAGGTTACCACTCAGACACGGGGGAGATGGTTTTACCAAGAGCTCCAGAGTTAGCCGAGGTTAGAGCTCCCCGAGTCTCCTGGTGCTGGGCCTCCCCTGTGGGGCGCTGTGTGAAGGTGACAGCTCAAAAGTGACCACCACGTGTTTGGTCTTATGTTTGTGGATCAGGACTTCCCCAGTGTGGTGGTTGTCGGCCTCGGCAAGAAGACAGCCGGCGTCAGTGAACAGGAGAACTGGCACGAAGGCAAAGAGAACATCCGGGCTGCTGTTGCAGGTGACGTGACCTTTTACCTTTAGTAGCCAGAGCCTTAGGGATCCCTTCCTCATGGGACAGCGGCCTCTCTCTACACCCTGAGAGAACCCGTCCGTCGTCGTCGTCATCGGTCCCTGGGCACAGCTCTGGAGGGGAGTGTGGAGGGTTTACTCACAGGGGTTCTATTTTTACTATTTTCCTGTCTTGTATTTGGACGTCTTCCTAGCATTCACTCTTACAGTATTGGTTTTAAAATTCTGTTCTCACTGATAATTTTTAACAGTAGTAATTATAAGCTACTGTCTTAGATCTCTAGTGCCGGTATAGCAAAAATAACACAAGTGTGTGGCTTTTACATTTACTCTCATCGTTTAAGAGGCTCCAAGTCTGGATTCAGGGAGCCAGCTCTACAGGAAGGGTTTTCTCTGTTAACTCTGGGGAAGCCCTGCTTCCTTTGAGCACCTGTAGGCCTGCCTGTGTCTTTTGAGAAATCCACGGATCTCAGCAGCCTCTTTCCCTGGGTCTAGAAGTTCTCAGCGCAGGGACTCAGGGTTCAAAGAACATGCTCCTGGTACTGAGATGCTTCCTCTCTGCTGGCTTCTCAGTCCTTTTAATCTCTTCTAAAAGGTGAAACAGACCACACCCCAAGGCAGCCTCTCTTAGTCAGATAAGGGCTGTAACCTAAGGGGCTTGGATTCTACCTTGATCCCTTTATAAACAGAGTGATGGGGAGGAGGTTAAGGAATGATTACATCATTGCATAACTGCCAGTTTACATCATTTGTAACTGCCAAATTGTGTCACGACGATGTGCCAGCTCGTTGACCATCATGACCCAGCCAAAGTGACACATATTTGTGGGAGGGGCATGGTTCCCTCCATGGTAGCCATGGTGGGGGAACTTTGTCCTTTTTTTAAAGCTTTCCCGGGGTTGTCCGTGGGTTTTAAATTCAGTAGAGTCATCATATTTGTATGTCGGAGATAGTGGAAGCAAAGTGCAGGGTGCATGTTTATAGCAAAAGGCCTGTTCCCATGATGCACTGAGTCACAGTAGAGCTGAACAGTAGGGCCTTGAACTTGGAAGTGCTGGTTAAAAGGTGCTTTGGAAAGCATTTTCAGAACAGTGCTAATTAACTCGCTTGGCCTTTGGCCCTGTATCTATCACAAAGGCTTGTTAAATTTACTTTCAAAGTGCGTATGAAGTGGTCATCATTTTTATTTGGCATTTTTTGCTGACGGCATTTTAATGACACGCCGTGTTAATAATGGACTTTGCTCCAGTTCTTGAGTGTCATTTCCCTGGCTCTCTGTCTCTGTGGATTTTAACCTGGCGAGCTCTGGGTGATTGGGAAGCTCCTCTAGGCAATTACCGTGTTTCTGAAGTGCTGCTTGACACAGCAGCCGCCTGCTTAGAGCCCAGGGCCCGCCCTTGACCGTGGAGCTGTGCCCACTGTTCCTCAGCCCGCCCTCTCACCACCCACAAAAGGTGTGCACCTCCTCACTGTACAGACAGGGACACATGGGGGTTCTCAGGCCCCCGTCCTGGCCCTGCCTTCCGCCCTCTGCTGTCCCCGCCTGACTGCCCGTCTCTGTCCTCTTGAAGCGGGCTGCAGGCAGGTGCAGGACCTGGAGATCGCCTCGGTGGAGGTGGACCCTTGTGGAGACGCCCAGGCAGCCGCCGAGGGAGCAGTTCTCGGCCTCTACGAGTACGATGAGCTGAAGCAGAAGCAGAAGGTGAAGGTGTCAGCGCAGCTCCACGGAAGGTGAGGGATAGAGAGACCGCGGGCCCCACTGTCGCGAGAACGCACGGCCTGCTCTTGTCTGCCAGCGGCTGTCCCCGCTTGTCCCGTCCGTGTGTCACCTGTCCCCAGGCTCCTCTCCCGGCATCTTCACCAGGGACCCCCTAGACCCCGTCATGACCTCATCACTCTAGACACCCATAAACGAGGTGGCCCTCCCTGGAGCCAGTGAGCAGAGCAGGTTTCAGCCAGCTTCTCGGGGACCAGCATTTACTGACCAACACTTTGCTGAATGTTAGGAGTACAGAGGTTAAGCTGCTGACCGAAAGGTCAGGAGTTCAAACCCTCCTACCCCCCACTCCATGAGGAAAAGGGGAGGAGACCATCTGCCCCACGGGGTCGCTGGGAGTCCCGGGAGCTGGAGGCACCGGTGGGGAAGCACAGTCCTTGCCCACGTGGCTCAGGCGGGGAGCCTGGTCTCAGCAGGTTGACCGAGCACCGTCTGTGTCCCGGTCCTCCTGCGCTGGATCCCGGGAGGCCAGGCCCCTGGTCTCAGGGATAGACCGTGTGAGCTGAGGTAGTTACGAACGGCAGGGGCCCAGCGGTCAGCCACCCAGGTGAATGCTGGCCCCACTACTTCCTCCTGGGTGCCTCATTCCCTTTCTCTCTTCAGTGGGGCTTTTATGAACCTGTGTGGCTAAGTGTTCCCTTCTCTTTTGCCCGTCTCCACGCCATCCATAAGAGTTCCTGCTGGGTTCGGAGGTGGCAGCTCAGAAAAGCTGGCCGCATCCTCTCTCTCTAAAACTGAGCTTTGCCGTCTGGTGGGTCAGTGTCAGCACCCTTCCCCCCAGCAGGAGGAAGGCAGGGCAGAAGGGCCTTCAGTTGGTTCCGTGAGGTGTCACTGTGGCAGCTCATCATACCGTATTGTTCCTGGAAGGCAGACTGAATGGGTCTTTCTGGGGAGGCCACTTCCATACGTGGAGAAGAGGGCCCGGGGGACGTCCTAGAGCTCCCAGGAGCCCACCTTTCTTGACTATTACAAAGAGGGAGAAGTGCCTGGCCAGGTCCCCTGGCTGGGCTTGACGAGGGCCGGGTCCTCCAGCTTCATGCAGATCAGAGACGGGCGGAGCTCTGTGGGACTCGCTCTTCATGTAGCATTCGGTCTCCGGTCTGTAGAAGGTGCAGCTGCTCGCTGCTGTGGGGTCCAGGGCCCTGGAGGGGTGCTCTGACAATGACCCTGTGCTTCCTCCTGACAGCGGGGACCAGGAGGCCTGGCAGAAGGGAGTCCTCTTCGCTTCTGGGCAGAACCTGGCCCGCCGCTTGATGGAGACCCCGGCCAATGAGATGACACCCACCAAGTTTGCCGAGATTATCGAGAAGGAGCTGAAAGCTGCTAGCAGTAACACGGACGTGTACATCAGGTGAGTCCTAGACAACAAGGGGAAAGATTCACCAGGGCTATACGACCTAGAGGAATGATTTCCAGTTAAAAGAATGGAGGCAGCTGGTCCTTCCAGAAGGCCATGCCTTCAATAAACGCCCAGGTTTGGAGGTGCTCACTAGAACGCCCTTGTTTACAGCCTTGTTTGAAGTGAGTCTTAGCAGGCTTAACTCCCTTTTTGTTTCTTGTCCTTGTTGAGGTCTGTTGGCCGCCTGGGATGGACAGGCAAGTGCTGAGCGTCCTTGGAGGTGGGTGCCTCCATCTGTCTGTCTGTGGGAGTCAGGCTTTCCCTCTTGGCCTGGCGCCGGGGGGGGGTGGGGTGCAGGCATCACCACAGAGCCCCTTTGTGTCCCCAGCCTGGCAAGGATAACAGTGGGGATTTGGTTCGCTGATTACTCAGGCTACTCTCCTTCTGTTACCTCCATGGATCCTGTGTCTCTCTTAAGTAATAACTGGTCTTCCTGCTTCCGTCAGAGACGGCTCAGATGGTTCTGGAAACCATGAGGAGCAGTGTGACCACTCTAAGGAGAGTCCCTCCCTGCAAGAAGCAAAGAAATGGGATATTTTAAGCACAGTCGAATGTACCTTCACTTTGTATTGTTGTTTGTTTTTATTTTTTTAATTGTGGTCTGAGTGAAAATTTATAAAACAAATTCCTTTTTCGTTGAACCATTCAAATGCACTTTGTTTTAGAACATTAATTAGAGTTCCCACAATGCAGTTGTCCTCTTCCTGGTTTCCTCCTTGTAGGCCTCGTTTTCATTGATCATAGCCTATTGCTTCCTTCTAGGCTTTATCATTGGGCAAAAGCTTTTCTTTTGACCTGATAGGATTGGTTATTCTTAGGCATAAGAGCTTTCCTACGATGTGATTGGTCAACTTATAAGCCTTGTTCATTTATGTTTTTAGAAATACCAAAAATAAAGCGGTAGACCTTTTCATCATCTATGGATATCCTGTGCGGTCTTAGAACCTTCATCAGCTGATAATCAGCGTAGAACCTGACATCAGCTATGAGTTAACATTTTGGAAAATGTCTAATTGACTGCTAGGAGAACAAACAGGTTTGTTCTAGAGAGAGTGAAACCAGGCTCCTCCTTGTAGGCAAGGATTTTGAAGCTCCGTCTCACATATTCTGGGCATGTTGCCAGGAGGCACTGGCCCTTGGAGAGGGACGTCATGCTTGGAAGGGTAGAAGGACAGCACGAGCGAGGAAGATCCTGGGTGATAAGAATTGACACAGTCACTGGGGTGGTGGGGGTACGTGTGTTGGAGACAGTGAAATTGGCTCAAGACAAAGCACGGTTCAGAACAACATGTTAAGAAGACTAGTAATTACTAAAGTTTACAGAACTTTTTGTCACAGGGCCTGTACAAGGAAAAAGAATGACAACCCAATAGCAAAATGGGCAAAAAAGACATGCCAAGACTTTAAAACAAAGCAGGACATTCAGATAGCAGCCACAGACACAGGAAGAAAAACTCAGTATCACTGGAAGATACATGCAAATCAAAACAACAGAGAGATAACCATCTCACCCCGTTAACAGTAGCAAAGTTGAACAAGACAGCAAGCAGTGAATGTTGGGGAGGATGTGGAGAGGTTGGAACTCTCATGCTCTGCTGGCGGAATTTTAAATTTGCTCATGTCCAACAACTCTGGAGGACAGTTTGGTCTTTCCTCAAAAAGCTGAATGTAGAAATCCCAAAAAAAACCCCACAAAACACAAACTAGTAATTACTGTCTGTTACCTGCCAGTGAATCAGGGAGATGGCTCACAAAACCCCTTAGTAATTCTCTAGAGAGAATATTTTATTTTATTAATTTTAATGAACATTTACAGAGATTTAGGATTTCCATTCACTCATTGTTACATTTTTCTCCCTGCCCACCCCTCACCCCCAGTTCGCTCTTCTCTTTGAAAAGTAAAAGAAAAATTCTTTCATTGTTATACATTCCCTCCCCCCAAGTCCACTCCACTATGCAGCCTTCACTCTGGACTCCTGTCATAGCCATAATAACCAGTCATACATCGCTTTTAAACTGTTCTCTCCCTCATCTGTTTCAACGCAGTATACATGATTTATCCAGTTTTTCTCCGTCTCACCCCAACCGCGAGGTCAGTCCCGTTCTACAACAGTGGCACTATGCAATATTTGTCCATTTGTGACTGAGATATTTCACTCAGCATAATGTCCTCCAGGGTCACCAATTTTTAATAATAGTGCATGAGTTCCTTGTTTTTTTTTCAGTGCTGCATAGTATTCCATCATGTGAATATATCAGAGCATCTCTCTTTACATTTGTTGATGGGTACTTAGTTGTTTCCAACACTTTGCTATTGTGAACAAAGCCACAGTAAGCATGGGTGTGCATATATCTGCCTGGGTGACAGTTACTGTTTCTTTAGGTTATATTCCCAGTAGTGGAATTGCTGGGTCAAATGGTATTTCTATTTGCAACTTTTTGAGAAAGTGCCGTACAGCCTTCCACAGTGGTTGCACCATTTTACACTCCCACCAACATTAAATAAGGGTTCCAGTTTCTTTACAACCTCGCGAGCATTTGTTGTTTGCTGCTCTGTTGAATTTTGCTATTCTCACTGTGGTGAGATGATAATCTCATAGTTGTTTTGGAGAATCTTTTGATGGTGTTCACTTTGACCTGGTTTTCCCAGTGAAGACTCAGAATGCAGTGGCCTGCCCAGGATGTGACCCTTGAAGCCTTAGCAAGGAGTCCTGATAGGACAGCGGTCATTGAAGCAGCTCAGTTGTTAACCAAAAGGCAGCAGTTCTAATGCGCTAGCTGCTGCATGGGAGAATGAGGTGCGGTCATCCATGAGATCGCAGCCTCAACCTTGTCCAGCAGTTCTGCTCTGTCCCCTCAGTCACTGTGGCAGCAAACCAGCTCTGAGTTTGGGGGATTGGGTTAGATCGTGGAAGCGATTTGCTGTGCTGCTTTGCACGTGGATGTGATTTCCACAAGTTCTTTTGAAGTAAAGGTAACAGAGTGTATTGGTTTTTCCCCTCTTCCCACCCTACAGACCCAAGCCTTGGATTGAGGAGCAGAAAATGGGATCGTTCCTGAGTGTGGCCAAAGGGTCCGATGAGCCTCCAGTCTTCTTGGAAATTCACTACCGGGGCAGCACCAACGCCAGCGAAGCACCGCTGGTGTTTGTTGGGAAGGGCATCACCTTTGACAGGTACGTCCTGCTGCATCTGTGGGCAGACGTGTGGACGTGAGCGACTGAGGGCAGAGTTTGCTTCCAGAGCGCGGTGCTTGGTGGTACCTGCTCCTCCACACGTGTTAAGCGTCCACTGAAGTACTTTCTGTGGGTCAGAGTGTTGTAGACCGAGAGTAAAATAATCTCATGATTATTAATAATGAGAGAGACAGCCAGGAATGAGATAGAGCAGAGAGCATAAAACAGGGGGCCAGCAGTTCTAGACTGAAGACCCCAAGTCATGTTTCCCTGTGTATTTATTGATAATCAGGGGAAGCAAATCATAAAAGGAATTCCTTGTAAATGAAGCCGAATTTGTCTCTATTGTCAACCTAATGCTCTAGCTCAGAAAGTATTTCACAGGTAGTAACACTCCCTCTGTAGAGAGCCCCTAGCTGTCTCCTGTCTGCAGGGAACAAACAGCTCATTTTCTGTGATCTGTCACAAGAGAAATCCTAACTTACAAATTTGGAATTCCTTCAATTCCTGAACAAGGGTTTTCATATAATATTTGCTGTAAACTTTGGCTTCCGGTATCAGAGGCTGTGGTAGGCATCGTGTATCCGCCCTCATGCTCATCTTGGGAGGTAGATGTGGGAGACATTGTACAGGTAAAGCGGTGAGGGCTCAGAGAGGTTAACTCGTTTGTTCAAGGTCCCGTGGATAATAGAATCAGTCAGACCCTGGATTGTGTGTAATCTGGAGCCGTGCTGCTAGCCCGAGGGCCACGTGTGTCTGGTCGCTTAAATCCAGCATCAGTGCTGTGGGAGGAGATGGGAAGGTCTCTCCACGAGCAGTTCACATCCTCGGGAACCCGACGGAGAATGTCCTGAGTCAGAACTGACAGTAGAGTTTGAGGGTTTGTTGGGGTTTTTTCTAAATTAATTTTTTTTTTTTCCATTTCAATGAACATCTACACAGATTTTGGAATTCATTCATTGTTGCACTTTTCTCCCCACCCACTCACCCCCACCCCCACCCCCAGTTCGCTCCTCTCCTTGAAAAGCAAAA